CGCGCCCTTTGTCCCCGTGCCTGGGGGCCGGGGCTGGCGGCACGGGTCACGGAGCCTGCCGGCGGCCCTCAGGGCAGCCGCGCGCTCAACGTTCCAAGGCAATGGAGGCACGCTGTCTGTCGTCCCTTGCCCCACACGGACGCTCTGCGCCCGGGGGGCTTAGTCTACAGGCGGCATACCAGAGGGTGGCCATAATCGCTATTCACGTCCCCGGGCAGAGGAGAGGTCACCCAATCGAGGACTTTGTCCACGTCGGGATGGTTAAGCAGTGCTTAATCAACAGCCAGGAAGGAGAGCAACAATGGCTTCCCGGGAGCACCGGCCTTCCTGAAGGCGGCTTGGCCTCAGCCTCCATTTACGACAGGCTGCCGCCCGGATTGGACCTTCTGGGCCGGGACGCTCGGGACTTGCTTTCTGAGGCGTCCCATTAACCTCTTTCTTGATTCTTGATAAATTAAAATAATGTGTCAGGGTCCCAGACGCTTTGGGGAAGACACTACAGGTCTCCTGGAGTGAAAATGAAGTCTAAATAATTCCTCTTTTTTTGTGTTGAAGTATTTTCTTCCAGAGTCAGATGTCTGGTTTTACTTCAATAAATGACTTCGGTTGAACAGCAGGATTTTCACTCAAGTACAAAACATATGACTGGAAAATAAATGTTGACTGTTACAAGAGTCTTGTCTATTACGTTTTATTTTTATTATCGGTGATCGATGTTAAAAGAGCTTGCTGAAGTGGACGGTCATCGAAAAAGGGGAAGATCCCCAACACCACGGACTAACAGGGTGGCAGTAACTCTAGGCTCACACATAAGAATTGTGAGGATGGCACTGTTTGGTCCTGTTGTGCATAGGGTCACGATGAGCCTGACCCCTAACAACAGCATGTTCAAAGAGTTATTATCAACTCAACTTCATTAAGCTAGGGAAGTGGTATTTATAGTTCATGCCAAATGTATGTCCTTTCAGAAATCTCTGGTGATTCCACTTAGTGATATAAAATAATGGGGCCTTTGATATATAAAGCACCACAGAATTTTCTGTGAAATTTGTGTTTGCTGAGCTCATGGCCAAACTTTTACTCATTATCATATTCATATACACACAGTTGTCCTAAGTAAAAATTCTGTCAGAAACACAGTCACTGAATCCACTTGGCTGTATTTGTGGCTTCCACGTGCCTTAATCTTATTTAATCCTCTTAAGGAAGTTTTGAGAAAAGTCATTATGGTCCATAATTACGATATGAAGAAGGGTGACATATAACTTGCCCAATACGGTAACACCTATTAAAACGGAAAATGTCCACATCCTTGAAGTTGTACTTCTAGGAAGGTATGTTTTCTCTTTATCAGAGTTGCACAAGTGAACAAAAATGTTAATTAAAGAGTTAGTCTGTGATAACCCCAAACAGAAAGTAACTAATATGTTTGTTAACAGGATTGTTTCAATAAATATGGTTGGTTTTAAGTGCCATCAAGTCAGTTGCCATTCATAGAGCAATCCTGTATAGGGTTTCCAAGGAGTGGCTGGTGAGTTTGAACTGCCAGCCTTGAGGTTTAAACTCATCTAAAGGTCCAGTACTAATCCTACAGCGCCACACCAATTGAAATACAAGCAGCCCCTGGGAAAATGGCAATATTTTAAGAAATATTAATATAGGTAAAAAGAACTTGATGTATTGTTGTTGTTGTCAGGTGCCATCGAGTTGGAACCGACTCATAGCGACCCCATGCACAGCAGAACGAAACAATGTCCAATCTTGGGCCAACCTCACCATCACTGCCACACTTGAGTCCATCAATGATGCCACCTGACCAATCCATCTCGTTGGGGGTCTTCCTCTTTTTCTCTGACCCTCCACCTTACCCAGCATGACATCCTTCTCCAGCGACTGTTCCCTCCGGACAATATGTCCAAAGTATGAGAGACGAAGCCTAGCCATCCTGGCCTCCAAGGAACACTCTGGCTGCACTTCTTCCAAAACGGATCTAAGATGCATATGTGAGCAGAGTGGCTCTGTAGGATAAACATGGGGCTGCTAATCCCAAGGTCGGTGGTTTGAGCCCACCAGCCACTTCACAGGAGACACTTGAGGCTTTCTGTTCTTGCAAAGATTCACAGCCTTGGAAACCCAGTACAGGGTTGCTATGAGTCATTAGCAACTCGATGGCACTTAACAACAACAACACATACGAGTATATGCCAAAGTCAGGAATTGAACTCAAACACAGAAATCATTGTGAGGACGGCATAGGACCAAGCAGTGTTTCCTTCTGTTGTACAGAGGGTTGTGATGAGTCTGAACCGACTCCATGACACCTTACAACACCAATATAAGTAATGCGTTTGTCATGTTCTTTTAAACTTGAAAGCTGAATACAGTTTCTGCAACAATTCAGTAATGAGTTTTAATGTTGTTGTAACGTGCAGTGGAATCAGTTACAACTCATAGCGACCCTGTATAGGGTTTCTGAGAAACGGCTGGTGAGTTTGAACTGCCAACCTTACAGTTCAGTGCTAAAATGAATTTGATAGGAAGGTACAAAGTCAGGGTCATACCTGTGAAGGAAGGCCTTCCAGCTCAAATGGGACGTTCTGGGCAACCCACCACTCTGGGCACCTGGCACCAAGAGTTCCAACGTTTCCTACTGGAACATTGTCTAAAGCCATGGCTTCATTTTTAGAAGTACCAATGGAGGCATCACACTCAGGACGATGGCTGTAACTCTATCTAAATATTTAAATAAGAATCAAATCACTACCAATAGCAATAAGGTAGTAAAAACACCATGGCATTGCTTTAGGGGACCCAGAAGCCACTGATATCATTGATGTTGGCTGCAGGTGAACTTGATCTCCAACTCCACCTTACACACCACACCCTCGTCCGGAGCTCTGTCTTCAATACACTGGCCTCTCACTCCAAAGCATGAGGTCCCTACTGTAGAGAGGACCAGAACCGACTTCATGGACATATGACCTGCCTAGTCCCTACTTAGATGGTCCCCATGCTTGGTTTAATGACATCTTGAAATTCTTAATCGATTTTGGACAAGTGGCTTCATGTATTCCTTTTTCCTAAGACCCTGCAAATTATGTAGCTAGGATAACTGCTTATGTTATTCCTTTTCTGAAATGCCTCCTAAATATTATCTCTCCAATCTCCTTATCCAGCTAAGCTCCCATTCATCCTTTAGAACGTCACTGAAGTTACATCATCATTGTGTCCTGTGTCTCTAGTCCAATGAGTAAACTCATACTAAGTATTTGTGAAGTGAAGGAATGAGAGCCATTGAGCAATCCCAGATTAAGCAAAATGGCATTTGCCTTAATAGACATACTTTCAAGGAACTCATAGGATCAAGTGGAACAGAAGTTAATATGAAACATTACACGGTACAAGATTTATGCAAGTTTTATTTTCTGTGATAGAAAACTGGAATGCTACTATTAATAAAATAATTAGGCATGGTAGGATAAGCATTGGGCTGCAAACCATAAGGTCAAACCCACCAGCTTTTCCTCAGAAACACTACACAGGATTGCTATGAGACAGAACCACAGACTTGACAGCACTTAACAACAACAACAACAATTTAAAATACACTATAGAAGTGATCATCAATTCTTCTTCTGTCTTCCTTATTCACTGTCCAGCTTTCACATCCATGTGAGGTTATTGAAAATACCATGGCTTGGGTCAGGTGCACCTTAGTACTCAAGCTGACATCCTTGCTCTTCAACACTATAAAAAGTTCCTGTGCAGCAGATTCGCCCAATGTAATACGTCATCTGATCTCTTGACTGCTGCTTCCACGAGTGTTGATAGTTAATCCATGAAGAATGAAGTCCTTGACAACTTCAATCTTTTCTCCGTTGATAAGATTGTTGTTTATTGGTCCAGTGGTGAGGATTTTTGTTTTCTTTACATTGAGATGTAATCCATACCGAAGGCTGTGCTCTTTGATCTTAATCAGTAAATGTTTTAAGTCCTCTTCACTTTCAGCAAGCAAGGTTGTATCATCTGCATAATTTCAAATTGTTAATAAGTCTTCCTCCAATCCTGATGCCACGTTTTTCTTCATAGAACCCAGGTCTATGGGTTCTTTATTTGCTTTCTTCTTTATTTGCTCAGCATACAGGTTGAATAAGTATGGTGAAAGAAGACAACCTTGTTGCACACCTTTCCTAATTTTAAACCATTCCGCGATCCCATGTTCTGTTCTAACAACGGCCTCTTGGTCCAGGTACAGATTCCTCATGAGCACAATTAAGTGTTCTGGAATACTCATACTTCTCAATGTTGTTCATAGTTTGTCATGATCCACACAATCGAAAGCCTTTGAGTAGTCAACAAAGCACAGGTAAACATCTTTCTGATATTCTCTGTTTTCAGCCAAGATCCATCGGACATCAGCAATGATATCCCTCATTCCACGGCCTCTTCTGAATCTGGTTGAACCTCTGGAAGTTCTCTGACAATGTATACTTGCAGCCGTTTCTGTATTACCTTTAGTAAAATATTACTCGCATGGGTTATCAAAGAGCTTGCCCGATGATTTCCACATTCTGCTGGGTCACCTCTCTTTGGAATGGGCGCAAATACGGATCTCTTCCAATCAGTCAGCCAGATAGTTATCTTCCAAATTTCTTGGCATAGATGAGTGAGTGCCTCGTGTGCCACCTCACTTTCTTGAAAGAGTTCAAATTTTATTCCATCAATTCCTGGTGCCTTGTTCTTTGCCAATTCCTTCAATGCACCTTGAACTTTCTTCTTTAGTATCATTGTCTCTTGATCATATGCTACCTCTTGAAATGGTTGAACATTAACTATTTCCTTTTGAGTTGTGGTGTTTAAGGAGAATATTGAAAGTGCCATGGGCTGCCAAAAGAACCAATAGATCCGTTTTGGAAGAAGTGCAGCCAGAGTGCTCCTTGGAGGCCAGGATGGCCAGGCTTCGTCTCTCATACTTTGGACATGTTGTCAGGAGAGACCAGTCACTGGAGAAGGATATCAAGTTTGGTAAAGTGGAGGGTCAGAGAAAAAGAGGGAGACCCCCAACAAGAAGGATTGGTTAAGTGGCAGCATCGATGGACTCAAGCATGGCATTGGTAGTGAGGTTGGCCCAGGATCGGGCAGTG